TGGACTTATTTAATAAGTTAAATATGGGCAAATTCTGAGATGGATCAACAGATAGGATAGGGTTTTAACCCTATCCACTCAGAGAGTCCAAATCTGAATATGATTCAGATCTAGAAACCTCCTAATGAGATTGGAAGAGGGCTGATCTAATCTGTAGATAAGATAAGGGTTTATCCCTATCATCTAAAAGGATGTCTGATCCAAATATGATTTGGATCAGCAGCTCCTAATGGGATTAGGAGCTGATCTTTTAGGATTACAATAGAAGGAAGGGGCGGTAGCCTTTAGAGAGACATACTCACATCCTCTTCATAGCTGAAATCACAGAAGAAAGATTTCTGCAATCCCTACAAAAATCTTTCTTGACGTCTCCTTCCTGCAGCCGTCAGACATCCAGTTCGATCTCCAACTCTGTGGGAGAAGTCAAGATTTGATCTTGACATCAGTTCTTTGTGAAAGAATTGATTGGAAGCTATGCTCACGTGCCATCCTGTTGTTTCTTGCGAAGGACAGAGTTCTTGGAGAAGAACACTGTTGATTCTGATCCATCCTACACTGCACCATCTTTAGTGGGAGCAGTCTTTAGATCCTTCCTTGGGCGTGAACACCTTCGTTGGGAGATATTATTTCTCCGTATCAGGTATACCTCTCTCCTACTCCTTTTGGTTCAGATCTGGTTCAGTTTATGGTTCAAGATTGATCATTGAAAATATGATTTTCTAAATAGGGAATTCGATTCCCAATTAAAAGGGAGAGAAATTTTTGAAATTCGCCCACCTTATTCTGCAAGATTTGGGCGTCCATACGATGGATCTCTCATCACTTCATAAAGTGCTATCAGAATTGGAATCAAAATCGAAATCTTTTAGAATTCTCATACTCTGTTTAGTTCAGACAGGAATGAAAATAGGAATTTGAATTAACAGGAATGAGATTTCATTCCCAAGGGAGAAGTAGAGAGTGGTCGATCCCTCAAATGAGGGATTGCCATTCTAGCAGGAATGGGAATGAGATTCCAAATCTGCCCAACCAAATAGTTGGAAGTTGGAACAGGAATAGCCTATTCTAATTCTGATTCCATACCCTTATTCCTGTGAACCAAATGAGGCCTAATTACTTGAGACTCATTACTCTGAGCAAAGGGCCACTAATGGGCTGCTTCCTCCAAGGCCAGAGTTCTGCCTGAGATCTATAATCATTCCCAATTAGTAGTATAGAACAAGGAAATCTGAGCCCACTACAGTGGCCAAGGTAACTTTTGCAAGATTGTGGTTGTTTCTAAATAGTCCGGATTTCCTACCCATGACAACTTATCCACACCTACCCACATAACATCACAGCCACATATGGAGAATATCCCATCCTTCTACATGTTATTATGCACGGGAGGTGTTTCCAATTCACAGAGATAATGTTTTGTGTGTAGGCATGGATAGAGTTGTTGTGGGTAGGAGATCCATAGTCGTTTTTAAGCCCAAACCAGAAACCAATCATTTTTCCAAAGTGGCTTTGCAGACCAACATGGCTGGACCTAGAATCATATCTTAGACGGTATTTGGGAGGAATTTGGATTAGCTGAACATGATGGCTGTTCAATGGGCTGTGGAACCAATGATAATCTTCCACGTTAATAATAAACCATGAGCTCCGGTGCAAAAAGATATGGGTCTCATGGATTAGCTGAACAGCCGCGTTCAACTAATCTTACTCGTTTGAGGGTGGTTATTGTTTTTAAACGAGCTTTTCAAAATAGTGCATACTAGATAAGCAGTTTATGAGTGTTTGGTGAAAAGACAATTATTTTAAATGTGGGGTGGTATAAGTATTTTGAGCACAAAAGGATGTGCCAAAAATGTAATAAGCACTTTTTTTGAAAACAGCCAAAATTTTTTATTTGTGCTTTTCATTTGGCATCCAATTTTTTCAAGTGCTTATTTTAAAAAATAAGCACTTATTTCATATTGAGCATTTAGTAGTCTTTTTTTCTAATAAAGTAATAAGCACCTAAATAAGCATTTGTAATTATTTTGCCCTTCATTTTCTTTCAAAATTTACAAAAGCACCTCTGAAGTACTTTCATAAAAGTACTTTTACAATAAAAATACTTTCACAAAAGAACTTTAATAAAAACACTTTTACAGAAGTACTTTTATAAAATTAAACTAAGAATAGTTTTATAAGTGCTATTTTAAAATTCAAATAGAGATAATTTTGAAAGAAAAAAATTGAATAAGTACTTATACAATAAAACTTAAAAAAAAAAAAATCTAGAAATTTAGGCTTAAAAAATAAACCATTATTTTTAAAATAAACACTTATTTCAAACTTATTTTTCAAACACTAATAAATGCTTAATGGTGTAATCCCGGCCTAAATAAATACTTATTTTTAAGCACTTCCAAATATGCTAAACGCAGGCTTAATAGCTTTAGTTACAATTACACAGCACGTTGTATTGTATAAGAATAACATAATAAATTGGATCACGCAAAAAAATAATATTTGCCCACCAAAATGCAATTAAAACTTTTAACAGTGATTTCCCGCCCTCTTTTCAAGGTGAAACAAAAGGAGGCAGAAGAATCTTTCTGTTGTCTCCTGATTTGCTTTGCTGTCTCTGAAGTTTGAAAGACTCGAGACTGACTAGCTCCCAACCCAAAGCCACAATTCACTGAATCATTATTTAACATTATTAACACTGAAAGATGAATTCCGTAGCCAATAAATAAAACAATTCTTTTTGGCAAGAACCAAACGAAAACCAACAAATAAAACAATTCTCTTTGGCAAGAACCAAACGAAAAGTAACGATTCATTGAGGAGAAAGAATAGATGCAAATGCGTAACGTCCACACTCCACAAGAGAGAGACGTTATGCTTATGCAGTGTGCAGTTGTGCATTAACAACCCAAACACGCCGTGTCTTGGTCATCAACCAATTGTAGTGATGGGTGGCTTGTGGATTCGAATGCCACCTCACATATGACCTTACCAATGAATCAATGATGAATGAACCACCACACACTAGGCAGCCATAGAAAATGTAAATTCAATCAAAGAAAAAGAAAAATTCCAACTCAGACCGACACAAAAATAAAAATAAAAAAATATGGTGGAGAACCAAGCAAGAGGGGTTCTAAATGGTAAGTACAAGGATAACAAGACCCATTTCTCTGGGCTTGGGGTCCACCATGTGACAACTGACGACTGCAGCAACGCCATCACTGCCATCATGCGCCTCTCTCATTAGTCATTTCCATTTTTTTATTTTTTGTCTTTCTGCACTGTCTTTCGACTGTTTATAAACTGGGCAGACTGATTCTTGTTTGGTTTGTAAAAAATTTAGCTGCCAAAAGCCAAAGTGCTGAAAAGCCGTAAAAACCCTATTTTGAGCTGATTTCAAGAAATTCTAAATGAAAATTTTTGTGTCTTTTACGTTTTATTCTCATATAGAAAAATGCACGGAAGGACATGTACATGCCAAACTAACTTTGGACTACTCAGATCTTAATGCAAAAGCTCAATGTGTCTTTTAACAGCCTGAACTATCAAAATATCTTCTCAAAAAAACTTGCTAAACGGGCTTATAATCCCTCAGTCCCTTGCAAGCTGGGAAGGGAATTTATCTATTTTCATCATTACTAATCAACAATAAGAGAGGTAGACACTCGACAACTCGTTATTAATTAGAAAGGGGATCTGCTCCTCACACTTCGGTGCCTCACATACACATCCACCGTGCATTGAGAACATCTTCCATGAATAATTACTTACAAGTATGAAAGATGTTTCCAATGCATGATAGGATGTGCATGTGAGGTGCGTGTGAAACACCCTTTGTGAGGGGAAGATCCGGTCTCTATTAATTAATGGTTTTAACGGTCACCTACGAGGCTCCGACCCTACCACCCGATAAGCAGTACTTGACAGAAACAGATACTGGACAAATGAAAAGATTGCTTCTTCAGAACAAAACAAAACAAAATGAAATGAAATAAAATAAACGAGAAATCATTGCAAATTCTAATTCATATTTGCTCTAGTAAGTTTGCAGTCAACACATTTAGATTCGTACTTTTTTGCACAATTGACAATTTGGAAAGAGTACAAATACAAATGTGTAGTGTAAATACATAAAAAATATAAGGTTTTGAACTCTACAAATTTATATTTGTACCCCTTCCAAAGTTCCAAACTAAGCCATTATAAATGAAATTGCACTTCAAAGAAATAAGGCATAAAACCCAGTAGTAGCCGCTTTCCAATGAAGCAAACAAGGATGGATAGCCACGAGCCAAGCTTTTCACGAACTACTCGAATTCGGTTCGTGAAAAACTCGGCTTAGCTTAGTTTAAACTGAGCTTCGAACCGAACTCGAACCTAATTTGCAGGCTCGATTAATAAACGAGCCAAACTCAAGCCTAATAGAATTTGGCTTGTGAGGCTCGGGAGCCGAGCTATATATATAATAATTCTTAATTTTTTAAATATTGCTCGAACTCAAGCCTTGTAATTCCTAGGCAAGCCAAACTCGAGCCTCATACTATTTGGCTCAGCTCAACTTGAATCCACCCCTAGGTGTAAAATAAGAAGCATCTCATTCTCGTAAGCTGTCTTTAGGATGTGGAGTTGAATTAGAATGGCAGTACGGGATCTGCAACTAAGTGGATAATGAAAATGACCATCCAAAGTTCCAAATAGCCATCTTTGAAATCGGGTAATTAAATATATTCATCCCACCAATAACCAACAGAGAAAATGCAATATGAAAAGTATGTGTTTGGTTTCGTTTACATTTTTTCACTCAACATTTGTATTTTATTTGCTTGCAAAACTGAGAAAGTTAATAATTACAACCGTTTATGAAAACTACGCACCACTAGGCACCACTAGGCTCCACATCGGCGTAACAGTAAAAAAACGCTTGACTGTTTCTGAAAGCTTTAAAAAATAAATTCCCCAAACGATAGGCGTGCACAAAAACTGAAGTCCACTTTTGCCATTCTCGATGCGTATGGAAGAGCAAGAGAAAGAATCTGTTGAAGTGGTGCCTATGTGGCAGCATTTATTAAATAAACACCCACGGAACCAATCACACTGAAAATCCGCTACTTACCATGTTCCGCAAGACCCATCTTTGAAGATGAACAGAACACAACCTAAGAGAATAATTATCAAAAATATTTACTGAAAATCACATTTACATGACAACTTCTAAGAAGATTAAGGCTGCATTTTAAGGACTTATCCTTTTCTGCATTTAAGTGTTCATAGGGGCATCTTAACTGTAAAAAGGAAATAAGTCCTTAAAATAAGGAATGCCAAATGCAGCCTAAAAAACAAAGCAAAAGATACACTGTAGAAGTTTACTCACTAATCTCTTGAGACATGTACAAAATATGCATCTGGCACCTTTGCCAGATGGAACCAAAGAGAGTTGATTGAGAAAGTATCACTAACTGGGGTGGGTTCCATTGGAGAAGGTTTGCGCAGAATAAAGAATCAAACTAACAGCTTCTTAAGCAGGAGCAATGTAACAGAGAGATGAAATAATTGGCGTGGAAAAATGAATTTTTGAAGGTTGAAAGTACCATACATAGGGCCGAGCTGCTTATCAGCTTATGAATTGATGTTGCACTCTCGCAGATAGACTTCATCATAGTTGACAAATTTGGCCCAGTAGTTTCGGTACTGAGGCAAGCCTATCTCAAGCCATGGTTTCATGTTTCCATTATAGTGAATAACAGCTGCTTGCTCAATCTCCTCCAGATTAATATTTGGATTGTAGCCAAGACCCAGGGCATGCCAAGACCTATCAAGAGCAAACGTACGATTCCAAAATGTTATCAGACCAGGTGGAAGGGTTCCCAACTTCCACAACTGTCTGTCCTGGTTCTGTGTAACAAAAAAAGCATACAAGAAAAAACAGAAGTCAATAATTGTTTTGTGGTAATAACAAAAACAATATGAAAAAATTAAAACATCTATTGATTTAGAGCCAATGTATTATGCAATTGATAAACAGTTCTCTCTTACCAGTTTCTGCCATGTGTGGTACACCTCTGTTATGTTCTGCTTTTTCCATTCATCCAGATCAAATATATTCATTCCATATGCCCATCCACAAGCATGAGGATCGAAGTTCTTAGAAATTAGTGGATTTGAGAAGTTGAGATAATGATCAAACCGGTGGAAACTCTCACCACATGTCTCAACTGCTCCATTAACTTTTCCTTTCAAATCTAGTGACCAAAGGCCAGTGAGATCCTTCTGTACTACAATATCATCATCTAAGAATAGCAATTTACTGAGATTTGGGAAGATCTCTGGTAAGTAAAATCTAAGATGGTTTAAGATTGATAGGTATTTGGGGTTACGAAATTTCAAATTTGAATCAGAATTTGAGTGGTGATTCTTGAAGTAATAATCTATCATAGATGGAGAACCAAGCTGCTTGAGAACTGGACTATAACTTGAATTTAGCCATGTGAAATCTTCAATGTTCTCAACCTGGATTGTAGCTTTGCCTGGTGGATTAGCTAGAAACCACATCCTCATTGCAGCATAATTAAGCCTGTCAGTTACAATGTGGAAAACATGGTTCTCTGGCTCCTACAGAAGAGAACAAATCACCATCAATTAAAAAAAAAACCCAAGTATTGAGACAATATTTGATTATGCCTTGTTTCTATATCCCATAGCCTTACCTTTGCGTTGGAAATAGTTGAGTTTACAACAACCGCAGTTGCCAATATGTTGTCCGAAAATATAGCATAGTGGTACAGCATCGCGTCTTCTAGTTTCTCTTGATTCGGAAACTGCTGTTGGCTAGAATTCAGGGAATAGTATTCAGTTGAGAGGCGTAAAGGGAGGCAGTGAAGACCCTTTGGAAGGGTCTTTGCTGCAAGTTGTGTCAGGAACATGGTTTGCTTCTTGTATGCTTTGAGCTGCTCTTCTGTTGAGTGAAGTATAGCACGAAGCTTCTTTACTATAGCTGCACAGTCATCTTGAATTTGCTTACCCTTAGCCAATACTTGCTCCATTGCCTTCAGTTTGTCATAGGCACTGGGTTCAGAAATCATAGCTTAGAAAATGAAATTGACAAAAAACTCAATTAAAGGAGAACAATAGATTTATTGAGAAATTACATAAAGAAATCATTAGAAGAGAGCTAATAAAATAAAATATCATATAAATGCACAGTTGCACACACACATACATGCATGCAAACTGCAGCCAAAGATATTCCTTCACTCCCTTTTAAAATGGAAACTGAGCTAACAATCTCATTTCAAGGACTTACTTCCTAGAGAGCTGGGAATCCTTGGTTGCATCACCAAGTGCTCTTTGAATTTCTTTCATCCGCAACCGAAGCTCCTTTATGAAGTCGGGGTTGTTTCGAGTAGCACTAAGCCCAAGGTAAACCCTTGCCCTGATCAACTGATCTTTAAGCTGCCGGACACGTACATCTGGCATAACTGTTTGGTCAATCTGTTGCTTCGGTTTTGCCTTTACATGAGCAGAGGTTTTTGCAGATCGTTGCTTATTTACATTTTCCTGGGGAAAAGGCAAAAAATAAATTAAGCTCACTAGTCAGTTTATTTTCATATTCTTTTTTCACTTAAATTGAGAAAAAAAACAGCCAAACTTCTATTCTAATACTAGACTAAACTAGAAATCATTTTTCTCCTACCAGAACAAAGATGGAGGAAGTTTGTCAGAAAGTTGTATGGTGGTCGCTAAATTTTTGGATAAAATGGCTTACCCCATTCACTCAACAAGTTATGTATTGATAAACCATAAATTCTCGTATAATTAAATTTTAATGGAATTATTAATTGATAAAAAAAAGGAAAAAGAAAAAGAATAAAAGAAGTCAAAATCAAGAATTCTCCTAAATGTTTAGAATGACATGATATATTGTTGTTTAATTTTCATTTCACCCCAGAGCAGAAAGAAAAGGTCAAATGTTCATAATTAGAATTTTGCCCTGCTCCCCTGCAATATCAAATTACCATTCATCTTGGGATTTTCAGGTCCCATATCTCAGAACTCAATTCTGTGACAACTCAATAACCCATATCTAACCCGTTAAAAGGATATTGTAATGACAGTCATTTTAAAAAATTCTAAACACAAACCAATTCTAAGTTTCTAACCAGACATCTAGCCTATTAATTCTTAAGAGAGTCAGACCCTTGCAAATATAATCCCATCACCACATCTAATAATTACTAAAATCAAAAGATAAAGCACCTAGAAAACAACAGTCTGAACAAGAGAAAGTGCTTAAAATTTTATATCTATACTAACCAACTAAAGGAGATTTTTTCATGGTTGAAACGTTCTCAAGGGAGCTAAAATTGACAGTACAAACAAACGAAGGGCAACAAGAAAGTTACCATATTCTCAGAACTGTCATTGGACATCTGCTCAGATAACTTTGACTTCTCTTCATTTTCTCTTTTCCCTCGTTCTTCCTGGGTTTTCGTATCCCCAGTTGACTCAAATTTCTGTGAACCATCGCTCCCGTTCTTTGCTTGAGATCCATCAGTTACCTGCTTGATGGGGTTTTCCATTTCTGACCGGTTCCCTTCGTCAGTCATGGATAATACTCTGGTTTTATGCTCCCTCGAGTCTGCCAATGGAAATTCTGCATATAACAAGAAAAATATATGAAGGGTTTCATCTAGAAGAAATTCCTTATTATTAACAGTAATTATTAAAACAAAAGGCACAGGAAGGAACTATTATTTTATCTTAAACTACTGGCTTCAGCAAATTTCTCCGGTAGAAATTGTGCAATTCAAGAACCATAACATATAATCCTAGATTTGAGAAAGTCTCGACTTTGATTTGGATTCTAATGTTTCGGTTTGTGGAAAAAATAAATTACCTTCGAGGGCTGAATCGAGGTGTTTGACGGGGTGCTCTTCGGCCAATCCATCAGAACTTAAAACAGAATTGCTCGAATTGTTCGCAAAAACCAATCCAATCGGTTCTTTCAATTTATTATGGGGTTCCTACATAGTTGGAATGGGAAAATAGGTAAGATCTGTAGCTCATAACTCAAACTTAAAATATCGCAGCAAAAAAAAAAAAAAACTCAAACTAAAAATAATAAATCAAAGAAGTATATTACTTGGGGGAGCACATTTAATTGCTGTCTGGTTTCACTACTGAAAGTCTGAACAAGAAAATCAAAAAAAAATAAAACATATTAAAAATCATATTTTTGATGAAACACGAAGCCGAAACCTCAGATAAAAGAATCTACTCACGAGAGTCGAAAAATTTTCAATAAATTCGCTTCTAGCTGCAGAGCCATCAACATAAAAATATGAAATTAGAGCAGAAAAGGTACAACTTTTTAGCTTTTTTTCGCACATTTCTGAAAAAATAAATAAATAAAAATAAAAACTTACAGGACGAAATTGTGAAGCTTCCAAGCCTGTCTGTATAAAGAACAATCGGTGCAAGAACCGTGACGAACAGCAAGAATAATACTGGTTTCCTCAACCCCATCTTTTCCCAACAGAAAAAGAAAAAAAAAAAGGTTTTGCTGCAACAGCCAGGCAAAACACCAAGGCTTTCAAAGAAAAACAATCATTCAAGACGCCAAAATTCGCCGCTAGGAATCGCTCATTCCCCGATAAAGCTATATGCCCATGCTGATTTCATCGGAGATCTGCATCTGTAGAACCGCTAATATGCTCCAAAGAAAAACAGCAAAAGATCACCATTGGCCCAAGAAAAAATATAAAAACTTCGTATATTCCAGAAATGCCGGTCAAATTCCGCTACTCTTTCTGAAACAAGAGAAATTTAAGAACAGCTTCTCGATACTACACTTTTGGACCAGAGAAACACTCGCATTGAAGAAAAAAACCAGTTAAAACCTTTTGAAGGTAGGGAAACAACACTTTTCGGAAAAGAATAAAATAAAACTGAATCTTTAGTTTACAAGGAAAATTAATCTAATCTAATATATTTATCTAAACTTAAATATATACTTGATACAAAATTAGGCATATGAGGATGAGACGTGGATATATGAGAAAAGAGTAAAATGTATTTATTTACAATATGCCACTAATCTTCTGTCTTTTTCGTATTTGCTAAAAATTGTCTCTTTCGTTTGGGTTTGATTTTAACCCGGCCGGTATGCGTGGATTAGAATCGAGCCGATTTGAATAAATAGCTATTCGAACTTTACTTTGTTAAGCCAGTACAAGGCTCGAACTCCTTAACTTCGGAACATCAAGTTCGAGCTAGAATTTTGAGCTCAAGCTCGGCTTAAGTTAAAAGTTTATAAGTTTGAATTTGGCTCGATTCGAGTTCGATTTCAGAAAAATGTTATATAAAAATAAAAATTATTATATATGTTATTTATTTATTTATTTATTATTATTATTATTATTATTATTATTATTATTATATGTATGTATGTATCATTATTATATGTATGTATGTAGTTTTTTGAGGGTTTGTGCATCCCAAAAATATTATAATTGAGGGTTTTTTATTTTAGATAACTTTTTGAGATTTGTGCATCCCAAGGAGCCATAGGCACCTTACCTTTCTATTTTCTTAAAAAAAAAACTTTTTTAGCCTCAAATATATATATATATATATATATATATATATATATATATATATATATATATATATATACACACATACATACATGCATTTACATATATATACCTAGTGGCAAAAACGATTCAGGATTTAGTTCGGTTTTTAAAACATTAACTTGGACCAATTTCAATAAAGTTGGGCTTGGTGATTAGGGCTCAAGCCTGAGCTTGGAGGCCTAAATTCTTATCCAATCCTGACCAACAATGGTCAAGTAGCTCAACAACTAATTAATAGATCAAGCTCGTAAAAAAGTCGAGCTTGATGTTTTGAGCCTGAGCTCGGAGGCCTAAATTCTTATCCAAGCCTGAACAAGAGTGGGTTAGGTGCCCCAATAGCTTGTTAACAACTCAGGCTAAAAAAAGAAAGTCGGTGTTTTGGGTCTAAGCTTGCAAGCCTAAATTCTTGTCCAAGCCCAACCAATAAGTAAATAAGTAAATAAATAAATAAAAGCTTGCAAGCCTAAATTCTTGTCCAAGCCCGGCCCGGCCCATGAACAGGTCTAGTGGCGGGTTGTGGGTACTCAGAATCTCATAGTAATCGGTTGAGTGTTTGGTGCTGAGGGTGGTGAAAATTACGCCTAATGCCATTATCAGTTTTGTCTTTTCTTATAGCAAACTGCAAAAGGGCAGAAGGGACTTCAGTATTCAGAGTCGCACATAACCGAGTTAAGTGTTTGGTGCTGAGGTTGGTGTAAATTATGCTAATGCCATCGGTTTTGTCTTTTTCTTATAGAAAAGGGCAGAAGGGAAATAGGGAGAGAGTGAGAGACCGACGCGTGGTGCTCTCTACCTCTCTCTCCTTTTTGTCTTTGGAGAACTGAGAGAAGCGTCGTGGGAACCGGTTCGGTTTTGATTTTATTGAATCGACCGATTATATCCCTTTCTTCCCCATTTTCGTCAGTTTTTTGTCCTTTTCTTATAAGAGAGAGAGAACTGAGAGACCGACGTGTGGCGCTTTCTCTCTCTCTCTATTTCTCTTTTTTTCTTTTCTTTGTCTTTGTAGAACTGAGAAACCAATAGGTTATATTTTTCATGTATATTCGTGGGTATCGGTTCGGTTTCGATCAACTGAGCCAACCGGTTATATCGCTCTCTCCCCCGTTTTCATCAGATTTTTGTCCTCTTCTTACAACAAAGGGAGAAAACTGAGAGACCGAACCAGTCAGTTTAAGGAATCGATTGACGAGCAGTGATGAACCAAACCGGTGATTATTGGTTACAGTTTTGGTTAACACCAAAATGGGTGAACCAAATCGATGGTTAATCGAACTAACTTTAACCAAAGGAAATAAGGGATGGAGTTTTTTATATTTACGATATTTTCAATCACGTGTTCACGTTACAAGTGTCGCGTGGTGCTTTTCAAAATTTTGTTATTTACGGTTTTACCATTTTTGTCTTCATATACTATTTTGTGAATGACCCCGTAATAATTACGGTGAATTAGTAACATTAAATTTACATTATGGAATCAATAATGTTAAAATTATTTTTATTAATATTTTAAATAATTATTAAAACTTCAAGAAATATTTATTTCAAAAAATAATTTTTTAATAATTATTAGAATATGGACCGTTTTCTATATCATATGGAAAAGATATGATATAAAAAGAGTTTTGACCAATCAAAACTCACCCATGAATTTTGATAAATAATACCTAATTTGCTACCATGCTTATGATTTCAGTTTATTAGTCAATTGTTTTTCGGATATCATTTTTTTCATATCATAGTTGAACCCTTTGTTATACGTAGAGAGTTAATGATTAACTGAGATTGATAGAATGTGGGCAGAAATGGTTGTGGATGACCACTTTTGCATTTTTTAAGAATAGATTGAAAACGGTGGTAGTGGGTTGAGCTTTAACAACAACTTTTCAGAAAATGTCACGTCTCTAGCTTTCCAAAAAAATGAGAAGGCCATCTGAATGGTGGGGGTTGTAGCCTGATAGTGGGTTATGGGCTTTAGCAGGAATTTCTCTAAAAATGAGAAGGTTACTTGTCTAAATGATGGTAGTGAGCTGTGGACTTTAATAGCAACTTCTTAGAAAATGCCATGTGTCTAAATTTGAAAAAACCATGTGTCTAAATGATGGGGGTTGTAGCTTAAAAGCCTTCATTTCTTATTCTTCTTAGATGTGAGAATTGTGAGCCTGAAATCGAAACGATGGGTAAGTTAGCCAAAAAGGGTTGGAGGTTTTGATACTTACGATTATGCGATTCATTTCTTCTTTCTTATAGCAAAAGGCGATAAGGGAGAGAGTGCCCCATGGCAATTTTCAAAGTTTTGTTATTTAAAAGAGCAAAGAATTGTGACCTTCATCCCTTTTGTAGGTGGTAGCTACATGGACAATGGGTCGCATTGCTACGCTTTTTGAGCTAGTTCAATTAATCAAGGATCTAAATATAGATACGATACGTCCAATACAGGGCGTATTGTATTGGTATCGACCGATGGGGATACAGGATACGCTACGAATAAACCCGTATCCCCTTAATCGCGTGTATCAGAGCGATACGCCTTCGTATCGGTTCGTATCGTGATGTATCGAAGCAATACGCACCGATTTAGATCGGCGTTTTCTCGTGCGCAACCAAAGCCTTAAATGCGCGCTTGAACCATTAAGCCACTTTTCATCTTATGAAATCTAATAAAATAAAATAATTTATTTCTATTCTAGTGTCCACATGTAATGCAAAAAAGTTACATTTTTGTTTAACAATTCCAGCAAAAGAAAAAAAAAATATTCAAAACTAATATTTTATAAACTCATAGAATAAATAATTTTTTAAATCCACATTTATATAAAAAATTTTTTTAATCTCAAGAAATTTCTATGAAAAAGATATTAATAATAGAATAACTATTTTAGTACTTAATATTTATAAATTTGAACATGACATGTAACTCATAATTTTATAAATTATTAATTAATATTTTAATTTGAACTTAATAAAAGTATATATTATTTATAAAAATAAAAATATTATTTACAAAAACCATGAGAATATAATATAAATTGAATTTGTCAAATCCATTAATCTACATTTATATCAAAAAATGATATTTTATCTCAAAATTAATGAAAATAAAAAAATTAATAACAGAATAATTATTTTAGCAATTAAAAATTATGAATTTGCATATGATGTGTATCTTAGAAAATTTAATATATTTGATATATTTTAAGTTAATACTATATGTTATTCTAAATCTTTAATTTATATTTTAATTACATTTTTTAATAACATGTTTATTGTTTACAAAAATAAAAATATTGTTAACTAAACATTTGAGAATTAATTTTTAGTTGATTTTCAGTTAATATTAAAAATTAAAAACAGTGAAATAGAAAATAATCGACAAAATAATTCACATATAATAGTTGCATATGTTTTGTGCCTTGAAATTCAATAGAAAATAACATTATAATAGCTTTGTGCATGTATTAATTTTTAATATATATATATATATATATATATATATATATAATATGTTCCAGGATTCTTGGTTGATACAATATCAATAAAATTTTATGATTTCTATACATCCCACTATATTAATTGTAGTATATTTCTTCACATATACCTTTAGAATATACATTTTCTATGTATCTATACATTAATTTTGGCTATTTTGATCTTAAAAATAATGTTATTAATATGTTTATGGAATTTATATGCATTTTTTGGCGTATCCATATTTTTTCGTCTGTATCCATGCGTTTCCAAAGCGTATCCGTATCCGTATCCATATCCGAGTGGTATGATACCATACCCGATACCGATACTTTAATCCTAGCAATTAATTGATCATTAGTATCCAACTATCCATAGTAATTATAGCGTATAAAGTGAAGGTGCTCAACCCTATTCAAGTGGTCAGGAAATTTCTCACTTGTATTGATAACATCGGGTAGATGGAACCAGTTCCACTTTGGTTGATTGAACCGACCAATTATATTTTCCAATACTAGACCTGTTCATGGGCCGGGCGGCCCGACGGGCCGGCCCGACCCGACCCCTAGACGGGCTTGAACAGGTATATGGGCCCGCGGGCTTAACCTTGGGCCAAAAAGCCCGACCCACAATAAATTCGAGCCGGGCTCGGGATTTGCCAAAATAGCCCAACCCGACCATAGTTAAACCTAAAACCCTACTCAAGACATCTTTGACTCTTCCCATTCTTTATTCCAACCGAACCCTTCATCTCCATCTCCACATCCTCCACACTCCACAGACCACAGTTCTCATCCTCACACTCTCAAGCAGCCACAACCGGTGAGGCG